AGTACAATTCCTATCTAAAGTGCAACAGTGAGAAACAACTGGGAGGGTGCCCTGCCCACACCCCGACTGTGCTCCCTCCCTCCAGGTGTTCACCGCCAGGCTCCCAGTCCCACAGGACTGCCCTCTCAGCACAACCAGGGAAAGGGAAAGGCTCTGGGTTGCTTGGAGACATAGTTCCTGGAGAAGCCACGCCTGTATGGGGAAGGAGGGACAAGGTGCCACTGAGGCAGGAAGCTAGGCCTGAGGGACTCAGCAGGAGCAGCACAAAACTGGGGGGGGGGTTTCCAGATGCCTATGGGGACACTCCACTGGGTCTAGGCAGGCCCTTGATCTTTTGCCTTATGAGACGTCAGGAAGTCTGTGTCTCAGAGGTGCTTATGAACACAAGCACAGAGTCTCTAGAATGGTTACCATGAAGGCACCTACCACAGTCATAAGACAATTATGAGGCTACAAAGCTGGTTATGAGCATCCCTGGACAGCACCCAAGCACTCAAAACTGTTTTTGAAATCTGTTGACACATGAAGAAACAACTATGAGAACCTAAAAATGGTGTTAGCAGGGTATTACCCTGGCCCATCTGGCTGCAGCTGGTTTCTCAAGGACCTAAGGCTACTAACTAGCTATAGGGCCCTATGACTGTGGTCACCAAAGCCATAAGCACCCAGTCCTTTACAGAAAGCTTGTCAACAACAGCCTCCAAGACCCACAGTTGTTCTGGCCTGAGGCTAGGCATCTATTAGGTCCCACCTACCTTAAGAAACCCCGTTGGAGTTTATTCCCTCTGGAGTAAAAGGGTTATTCTGTTTGGACTGAACAGCAAGTGGTGTCACAGCACATAAAGGATCAACATAGCACCTTACAGGTTCTCAGAAACCGAAGAGTAAACAGATGCAACCAAGGCCAAGAGCCCAGCCCATCTTCTAGGCAGAGGCCTGGCCTTGCCATGTCCCTCAAGGAGCCATGACACAGAGCTCAGGTTAACAAGTTAGTAGCATCTTGAGACCCAAATATTGAAGGTTGCAAAAGGTTCAGGGCATCAGAAGCAGAGAGGAATACACACACTGACCAATGGGAATTTCACCAGCATCATCTTTGGCTTCTGAGCACAGTGTGGTGCTAACCCGAAACTTACAGTTTGCGCTGGTTGGACACATAATGCTTAGGACCATTTCTATGGACATCATAGACATGGAGGGCAGCAGCTCATCACTGGCTCCCTGACTAGCAGCGGACCAAGAACCTGGCCGAGGCTGGCTCTCTGAACCTCACGGAGTACAGCCATACAGGTGTTCAGGACCATTAAGGATATGTGAGAAAGTTGCCTGTGACAGAGCCTACGGCTACCCACAAAAGGCCCTATGGGAGGGCCTGGCAAACTATTTTTGGCCTGGTGATGAAGCCCACCCTACTAGAAAGTTTTGTTGGGGCACACTGTGTATTCTTCTGTCCTAGTTTGCTTTCTGTTGCTGTGATAAAATACTGACCAAAAACTTAGGGAGGAAAAGGGTTTATTTATTTGGCTTACAGGTTACAGACCATAAAGGTAAGCCAAGGCAGGAACCTGCAGGCAGAAACTGGAGCAGAGACCATGGAGGACCACTGCTTACTGGTTTGCTCCACTACTTTTTTTTTTTTTTTAACTTTTTTTATTTTATGTGAGTGTTCTGCTTGCATGTATGTAAGTGCAACTGTGTCATGCAGAGCCCACAGAGACCAGAAGGTGACTATGGATCCCCTCGAACTGGAGTTAAGGATGGCTGCTAGCCACCATGTGAGTGCTAGGAATTGAACCTGGGTCGTCTGCAAGAGCAGCCGGGGCTCTTAACCACTGACCCATCTTATACTTTTCTTATACAGGTCAGATTCACCTACCCAGGGATGTTACCACCCACAGTAGGCTCTGGGCCCTCTTACATCAATTAGTAATCAAGACACTGCCTCACAGATGTGTCCACAGGCCAGTCTGATGGAAGAAATTCCTCAATTGAGAGTCCCTCCCCCCAGGTTAAGTACAGGATTACATCAAAGACAAAAACTAACCAGCCAGTGTCTCTGGCTGTTTCTATACTAAAGGGTTATAGAAGTAAACAGCTGTAGCAGACCACATGGTCCATGAAGCCTCAAATGCTGCTCAACCTTTCATAAGAAGTTTGTGGATCCCTTCTTTAGAGGATGGCAGCAGGGGCATAGCTTGGACCAAGAAACAAAGGGTAGCAAAACTCTGACATGCATCCAGGGGCACCGTTTAAGAGTCAGGGCCCAGTGCATTCTAGAGTTGAGGACTGAGTCTGGTTTAAGGCTCCTTTTAGTTTGAAGAGTCCCTGAAACATCCAGCCTCAGTGTCTGCAAAGGGAGAAGACTGGACTTGCAGCTCCCTCGTCTGTTCTCCTGTCATGTTTTGCACATCAGCTGCCAAAACTGCTACATCCTGCCGTAGGTTTCTCAGAGGGCAGAAACTGGATCTTCCTGATCCTCTATTAAACCCCAGGACTCAGAGGGGCCTTGGCAAATGGTTGGCAGACATCTGTTGTGGGTAAAATGAGTAGGTTCATTGTTGAAATTTCCATTAGGAGAGGTGACTTGGGGGCACAACAGTGACACCTTCCCTGAGGAAGCTAACGTGGGGCAGGAAACGAGACTCAAAAATCCTACCCATTAGTTGATTGTGACAACCCAACTTTGGCAGAAAGGTCACTCTACAACCAGGAGCTTCCCACAGGAGTGGCACCTGGCCTGGAGTTAGTACAGGAATCCTCTAGGCTCTTTCCCCAGCCCTGAGGAGGGGGTGCACAGAGCTCAGGCCACAGAAAGATAACTCGTGGAAAGGTGGTATAATCTTGTATGTATGATATATTGCCTGTATGTATATATGTGCACCCATGTTGTGCAATACCTGCAGAGGTCAGAAGAGGGAGTCAGATCCACCGAACTGGAGTTATAGACAGTTGTTAGCTGCCATGTGGATGCTGGGAATTGAACCTCTGTGAGAGCAGCCAATGCTCTTAACCGCTGAGCCAGCTCTCTAGCTCCAGACGGAAGGTGGTATTTCTGAAGGTTCAGTTTCCTAGGGTGCAGCTGGGACTGAAGACTTGTGATTCCCAGGAGTCCTCTTTTCAAACCAGCCTCTAGCATACAGACTGACTTGTGGACAGTACGGGGGCCTGGGTTGGAATGGAGAAGCTGGTTCTGAATCCCTCCAAAGAGTGAAGAACCCCTGTACCACATTACCTCAGGTAGAAGGAATAGGTCTAGCCTCAGATAGAAAGGATGGCCTCCACAGGAGACTAGTCTCGGATAGAAGGAACGGACTACAAAGGGCCTAGCCTCAGATGGAAGGGATGGACTGCACAGGGTCTAGCTTCAAGATGGAAGGAATGGACTCCACAGGGTCTAGCCTCAGATGGAAGGGATGGACTCTACAGGGTCTAGCCTCAGATGGAAGGGATGGACTCTACAGTGTCTAGCCTCAGATGGAAGGGATGGACTCTACAGGGTCTAGCCTCAGATGGAAGGGATGGACTGCACAGGGTCTAGCCTCAGGTGGAAAGGATGGACTGCATAGAGTCTAGCCTCAGAAGGAAGGGATGGCCTCCACAGGGTCTAGCATCCCTGGCTGAGATGCTCTGACTTGGCCCTGGAACATTCCAAGAACATGTGCAACTTCCACTTTACACCTTCAGAGGCAATGGTTTGAAGGGAGCTGCAGCTGCTCAGTGCTTCCAAAAGTAGGCTGGCAGGGTCCTCGGGAGAAAACCTGCCAGCAAGACATACTGGAACCTGGTCTCCAGAGCTCTCCTTCCCTCCCAACCACACCAAATCCCATCTCTAAAACCACCAGCAAGCATAACCTGCAAACTGCACTGACCACTGAACTCCACCTTCTACCTTCTGAGTGTTATCAGATCTGACAGCCAAAGGGCAAAGCCAAAGGGTTCTCCATCCAGTTGCCCAGCGAGTCCCACTGCGCCCTTTGTAACCAGGATCCGAGAGGAAGTGAACAGGCTGAATGCTATGGTGTCACTCACTTGCTGAGACTTGATCTGCTGGGGAGGCTGGACTGGGGTACTTTACACTAGCAGGCTGATTGGACAGGAGTGGGGACTGAGAACAGTGAGGCTGCCATCTGTGAGACGGTACAATGACTCACCTGCCCAGTGGCCTTGCAGATGGGCCTGTGGCCTCCACAACAGAGCAGATGACCAAGACTCAGAAAGGCCCTGGGGCTCCTTGGGTCACAGCTGCTGGGGCCTGCCTGGACTTCAGTTTCCTGGCCTGCACAGTGAGTATCTGTCATCCAATCTTCAACTCTGCTCTTGATGACTATCATACAGACTTGTAATGTGCCATTCCTACATCTGGCTCCCACACCAGGTGTACACCTGCCCTTACTGTCTAGGAATCTCTGTTGAAAGGCAGGCAGCTGTGTAGAAACACTCAGGTCTCTCAATGTAAGAGAGAGACACCATCACCACACATGCAAGCATGACATCTGGAACAGAACACCCAGAAATGAACCCAAGACAGCTTGGTGATCACCACATATTAACCTGCTCAGAGTGGCCTCCTTGTCCGATGCCAAGCTGCTCTAGAAAGCGAGCGACAGCTCAGGAAGAAGGCTTCTCGAGGAAGAGAAGAGAAATGACTGAGGCCCAAAAGGAGGAAGCAGTGAGCCCACCCCAGGCCCCTACCCTCAGACAATCAGACATAAGGGAAGAGACCTAAAGAGCACTGAAAAACCACAGGCTTTCTGCATTTTCTCCTTTAGAAATAATAAAAATAAGGACAGTAAATTAAGGAATCAAATGGGACAACTCAGCACAGCATACATGCATCTCAAAAGTAAGCTGCCACACAGAAGAAGGAACTTTCTGGTCTTTAATTTTCCCAAAGTGGGGCTGCTGAAAATGAACGAATTCTTAAAAAACTATAGGTGAAGTGGTCTGCAGTGTTCCAAACCAGACATGGCACTGGGGAAACAACCACTCAAGCACACAAGTAGCATTCTGTGATCAAATTTATTTTTGTTTCAATTTCATTTACTTTGTTTTACTGTAATTTACACGAGAGACTGCCAAGTAAACTAGGTATTTTACATTCACCACACATCCCCTCAATCTCCACAGTTGTTAGGAAAACATGTTAGAGTCTATGTGCGGGCTATTTCCTTGTGTGCCCAGCTCCCAAGAAGACTAGATGCCCAGGAGTTAGGTTCATGGAGGAGAGGCTAGGCTCTCCAGTGCCCGAAGTTAATAACCTTTCCACTAACACTGTGACCAAACCCATCTCCCAACAGTGCCCAGAGAGTAAACATCAACCTTTATCCTGAGGACACATAGGACACGGGGGACTTGGTGCTGACATCATTGTCTGATTCTCTGCCATTGCTCCGGTGGGGGGGGGGGCACAGAACAAGAGGAAAGAGGAGAAGGAGGGGGGCAGGAACATCAGCAAATGGAGTATGAGTGTGCGCTGTCCCAGAGGCTGGTGTACTCTAGGAGGGATGGAGGTTAGAGAGGCAGTTTGTGACCTTCAGGAGTATGGCTTCGGCAGTATGATTCTAGTTACACTTCTAGGACTACAGGAGAAAACCGGCAGACAGAGAAAGCTGATGAAAAGTCTTACCTAGATACCGTGCCTTCCTTAAAAAACAAAAAAGGAAAGGTGGCAGCGACTTCTGACTGCATCTGTGATGCTCATGCCCGAAGATTTGGGGGGGTGGGGGTCGGTCCTTGCTGGGCCTTAGCATTGTTCGGCCAGCTTGTGCCACATTTAAACCGTTTCTACCTCATCCTCAGCCTCTCCCCCTGGCATGGATTGCACAGGAAAAGGGTAAAAGGTCACCACTATCCCGTGAGCTGAGAGACATACAGACCATCTGCATAGTTTCCACACTGCAATTCCAGGAAAGTCATTCCAGAAACTACTCCACAGAAGGGCTGTGCACAGCCTGCAATACTATGCAATTTCTTTATCAGCTTGTTTAAAATTGTCTAGTGTTTAATATAAATCACAAACCGTCATCACTGTTTTTGCTAGGTTTGATGTAGAAAAATACTTGAAATTTAAAATATAAAACTCCAATAAAAAGTCGAAATTTTTTAAAAAGGATTTTCCCACTCCTGAGGGCAAACTAGTAAAAAGAGGCCAGTAATTTCACTTCTTACTTGATACTATCAAATTTGGCTGGGAGATAGTGACCATCCAGAAATAGTTATAAATACATCTGGAGTATACATTTGAGATTCACTGGAATACCAAAAAAAAATTTGTAGAAATCTTTCTGTAGGAGCCTGCTGCTTATGGGATGAAAATAAAAGTGGAGATGACTTAAAAAAAACAAAGAAATAACCAAAGGCTACACATATTGGTCCACACCTGACATTTATGAAGCATACTAGCCAGCATCATATCGCAGTTAATTTGTCCATCAATGGTATCACGCTGATAATTATTAGACTCTGCTCCAGGTATATATACTGAAAATAGTTTCTTTTCATTCTTGCTGAAGATAAGTACAGTACTTGGGAGAGATTGTCATAATCCCTCAGTATGTTTGTATGTACATATATACATACGCATGTGTGTACCTGGACCTGCAGCTCTACATGCGTTCTACATATAGCTACAGACACACACACATACACAGCTGGGAACCTGTGCGTGTGTGTGCATCACCACAGGCACACGTCGGAAACGTCAACACTGCGAGACGCTGGTCGCTTCTTCACTCGTCACTAGCTGCACTTGTTCCCCTCACTTGACCTTGGCTCCGTAGCTGTAAGAAGGTGAAGAGAGCACAGTGGTTAGGACAGAGACAGGGCTCAGCACACCTCTCCAGAGAAAACTACACGACACGGCAGAACTTTTGGCAGAAAATGTTTCCCACACTACTGCATCTTAAAACCTTCCTATTTAAAAAGATTCTGGCCATAATAATGGTGAAATATTTGTTTCATCAGAGTGAAAAATAAATTATAAGCAGAAACAAATCACAGAAAGTTAGTACTTAATGAAAGTAAAAATAACTGAAAACATTTTTTATAAAATGAAAACTGTATTTTAAGAGCTTTGGAGAATCTTTGAAGGGCTGCAGCGGCTGCTGGCTGTTCACGACTGACACTTGATGGGCAGTCATGGGGGGCAAGAGAGGGCGTGTGGGAGCAGCAAAGCAACTCAGTGTGGGTGTGGGAGCAGGTCCTTGCTCTAGACCTCAGTGGTCATCTGGTTTGGTATCTGCACAAGACAGTACACATGGTTCTATATTTATTCTGTCTCAGTCTATGGGGCGGATTCAGATGCTCTCTGTCCCTCTAGGGAAATATGAGCTCATGAGCCATGGTGAAGTAACACCACAGAAATGTTTTATGCTATACACTGAAACCAAAACAAGTTTATGGAGGAACGTTAGCTGCAAAGGGGACTGCAGAGTAAAGAGAAAGACTGTGGTGTCTAGAAAACACTTCAACTACAATGAGTCACTGAGGTTGGCCTGGTTGGGGGGCAAGAGGGATCTCCGATTCCCTCAGGAATTCACCAAGAAACAGGTCAACTAACTGGTTGGCCATCGAAACATCAATGGCAGTGCCACCAGAACCAGGGCTGCTACAGTCAACCTAGCCACAGTTACAATGACTGGAGTGAAAACTCTCATGCTCACCATTTCTAAAATATGCATCTCTTCGATTCTAAAAACAGAATCACATTTAACACCGATAAGAACATCTGTGCTGTAAGTCCCCATCACCAACAGGCCCAGGTTTGTAAACGTCTTTTCACCCAGGTCTTCACTTACACAGTTTGATAATGTCTCTGACCTACAGGGGACTCATCTAGGCATCAGCAGCCGACGTGCCTCGGACGGAACCCTTCTTACGCATCTAAATGTAAAATAAAACCGTGAGCTGCTAAAAAATCACTCTAAGTAGGGGTTAGTAAGCAAGGGGAGAAAAAAGATCCAGAAACAATTATATATACTGCCTGTTTCTGTGAGGAGTGAAGTTCTGAGCCTCTCAACTGGTCTTGCCTGCAAGAGACTTGCAGGGGCTCTCCATAATCAGCATGAAAAATATGAATATTATGTTTGCATCTAAAAGACCCCCTTGGAGAGCAAATTACTAAGGATACAATGGGAAAGGGAAGTGCGGATATACTGTGAGAAAACACCTCAAGGGCTTGGTCCCCACTTTCACTGTCTCTAGACCAGACAGGAAGCCTCATGAAGGTGTGCTTTGCTCGCTGCTTCGCAGAGCCTCTTCTCAGTGCTTTCAAGTTTACTGAAAAGAGGGAAAATGAAAGAAACAAATAGAGGTACAATGTATGGCAAAAAAATAAACAACAAAAGCATGCAAAAGTACAGGTATTCACAACAGCATACAGACAACAGATCACAAAGGAGAAAACCAGAAACAAACAGAAAATAAACATCATTAGTACATTTCTAAAATTCACCTTCTGCCATTCTACCCCTAAAGAGTCTGGTGAAGACACCAGGAATGACATCTGCCTAAAGTCCCCTCCACCATCCAGCTAATCCCTGAGATTTCTGCAGACTACAGGTTGAAGATGGGATGTGTGCACACGCATGCCCTCTTATGCTCAACCCCAGGTGCTGAGCATTTTCTTTAAGGCAAAAAACCATTCGTGAAAAAACAAGCCAACTCTTAAAATATTTGTAATTTGACTATTATAATGTATGAAATTCTTTGATCAAGCGTTCCTAAACACGATGCTACCCCAGGCACTAATGACGCTGGACTGTAAGTGGCAGATGCTACTACTGGGGCCTCACAAGGAGTTAGTGTGAGATCTGTCTTAAAATACTTGAAATATTTAAAGATCAAACTGCCACAATGCTACCCTGACAGAGTTTTAGCAAGCTCATGGGTGATTCAGTCAGTCTGATCCCTGGGCAGCTTTTCCAGCGCCACTTCTAACTCATATGGCTGACTGGCAGGACAGCCACTGAGCACTCTGATGTACTGCCACGGGTGGGAACAAGAGCCAGCACCTCTACCGGGCTTTTCAACATGTGTTCAGCCATCATCACACTGAGAACCTGCAAGGGAGCAAGAGTGGGGACAGGAGATCTCAGCCACATTATGTCCAAGGGATCAGGATATTCACCACCTGGTTGCTACTATCTTTTCCTCACCTGATAGTTTAGTACAGAAAGAAGGGCTCCTTCCCAAGGGGTGGGACCAATAAAACTTGTGCTTTCTGTAACCCTTTGGCACTGCTGGAGAGGCAGAGCTGCAGCCTGGAAGGGCAGAGCTGGTGGGTGTTTCTAGAGCCTGGAGCACTGGGAAGGAGACTAGGCAAGGCAGGGGGAAAAAAATCCATGCTGGGTGGAGTAGTGCCAGGGTCACTTGGGGCAGAAGAGCACCAGAGGGAGCTCCTGCTGTACTTGCTGAGGGAGCAAGTACAGTGGATGAGAGGCATGGATAGGAAGGCTGGACAGTGAGAGCCGGGCCTGACTGCCTAAACACTTGTAGTTAAGAACAAAGGGACGAGGGAGAGTCTTCCATGTCCACCAGTCCACATCCTGCACCAAAGACTCAGAAGTCAGAGTCCCAGCTTTAGTGAGAGAAAATGGACCCTGAAAGCCAAACCCCAACTTACAATGTTGTCTCTATGGGAAAGCACATTCCAAGTTTCAATCAACCTAAAATATTTTGGAGCAAAATCCATTCATAAGTTGGAGTCTGTCTATAGTAAGATAAGGGTAAAACATTTTATTGCCTTATAAAGAAAATATGCCCTAGCCTTCTCCAAAGGTTTGTATAAAGCTAATTAGAAGCAGGCTGCTCTAATCACCCAAAGTAAACAACTTCAGAAGCAGATTCTATGCAGCAGAGACATTGATTCCTTCTATGCCAAAGAGTCTGATTTGTTATCACTCTCTGTGATTCCAAGGGGCTCCCACTTCACACAGGCCATCAGCCACCCACACCTGCAGAGCTTACAGAAGCCAGACGGTGCCTGCTGACAGGGCCTGTGGTGAGTGCATGGAAGCCCTAAGAGCCCTGAACATTCCTTGGGTTCATTCCCCCACAAAGCCCCACTGCCAACTGCAGACAAGCATAGCCCAGGGCAAAACCAAAACCAGACCCATGCAGGAGGAAGCCAGGAAAGATGGCCTTGGGAAAAAGGAGACATCCACACGCTGTGGGGAGGAGCTAGGGCAAGCTTAGCCATAAAACCACACTCCAACCTCCTGCCAGGAATCACTTGAATTTGCCTACAGCCGACAAGTAATAAGGACTCACTGCTAAGCAAGAGAGGGAGGCAGCACTGCTGGTATGAGAGAGAACACAGGAGACTTCTATGGAGGGAGCTGGGGCTGACTGTATGGCCTGAGGCAATGTACACTGAGCCAATGGTTTTGGGTCTAAAAGGACTGAGCCAGGTACTGTCACAAGGAATGAACACCTGAGATCTAGTACAAAACCCCTGGATGTTTTTCAAGGAACAAATTCTAGGTCAAGAGAGCTCTAGTCTACCTTCAGGAAAGGTGCTCAACAAAAAGAAACTCAGAACATATGAAGGGGTATTAGTGTCTGAAAAGCTCCATTTTGAAGACAGTGGATTCAGCAATGGCTTCCAGCAATACTTCCCAGTTCTAAGTCTACACTCGCTAAGCATGGTGCTCTTATAAAGGAAACAAGAGAATTCCCACAGCAAGTCTTACTGTTTCAAGTTCTTTCTGAGTCTCATCTTCCATTCTCCTAATGTCCTCCATCGTCAGGTCAATCCACTTGTCAATCCAACAAAAGAGCTGGCGGTGTAAGTTTGTAAATATCCGTTTTTCTTGCTTTAAAAAAAAGTATTATAAGATAGCAAAAACGTGGATTAGTGACACATTAACTTTATATGTCCCAAGGAGCCCATGAAACTTCCATGTACTTGGTTTGAAAAGATCACTCTATAAAGATGAGCAGAAATCTTAATTTTATCCTATCATCATTTTATACAGAAAAGTAAAAAAAAAAAATCCCAAGGAAGGACCAGCGAGATGGCTCAGCAGGTAAAGGCACCTACTACCAAGCCTGATAACCTGAATTCAATCCCTGGGACCCACATGGTGGAAGAGACACTTGATTCTTGCAAATTGTCCTCTGACCTCTACATGCATGCAGTAGGGCATTCAAGTAAAATAAATAAATGTAATTTTTAAAAATCCCAGTGAAATGAAAACTTTCCCCTGGTTAAAGTACTGATGATCTAACAGAAACTGAGGGCACATGGCATGCACAATCTAACCCCACATGCTCCTGCTTGGTCACTTATGGGTCACCTGTTCTCAATGCCAAGGGGCAAAGGCCAACTAGGCTTTTGCTGCTACAAAAATCACACCCTATGTCTTCACCTCTTATACTTCAAAGGGTACTGTGGGGTGAAAAACTGTGCTGCAGGAAAGTACTCTGGATATTGAGAGACAAGGAAAAAATTATCTATGCTTCACAATACTACCTGTGTATGCACACACAGACACATATATGAAAACCATGTAAAGAACTAATGGCTTTAAGTGCTGAATTTTTTAAGCTGTACTCAACTCTCCCAAGAAGAAAGAAGAGTATGAACAGTGTGTACTTTTGGACAACTTTCAAATTTTCAACTTTTTCCAGAACAGAAAGAACTTCATCAATTACATGTGTGACTTGTATTTATCCAAACTGAACTGTAAATCTAGTTACTATGATCCAAGTGGAAGAAAGGCAGTTGACCACGGGCCAACTACAGATAGGCACAAGGATTATCAAAGGTCCCAGAACTTGGGATCTTTTCTTTCAAAAAAAAAATCTTGTATTAGTTTAAAAGTAGAAAGTTATGATGAAATGGTTACAGTTGTAGGAATCAAGGGGTTTAAAATAGGCATTCTATAATGATAATGGTTAAAAAAAAAAAAATCCATCCTACAAGAAAAATCAACATGGGGAGCCCTCTGCATTTAGCGCTCTGTGCAGTGCTCAGCAACACCATGCATAAACGTTATTTATACCGCTGTGATTTCCCCATTTCTAGATCTAATAGCCTATGTTATCTTCATCTTTTAAAAGTCAATTAGGCTGGAGATCCTCAGATCACATCACTAGTTCACAGTTTATCTGTTCTCAGGAAGGACCTCTACAAAAGACACTCCACAAAGATGTGTGAGATATGTGCCAGAACACCAAGTCTCCAGAGGGACATGCTAGACACAGAAGGGGCTCTGTGCTTAAGTGTTAGAAAACCACTAGGAAAGCACACTGAAAAAACCACCATTTCATTTCCCCAAAGGAAGTCCTTGAAATCTCTTGTGCACATGGCTTTAATGCTTCTGGGGATAAAACAAAAAACAAACAAAAAAAAAACAAATGAATTGCATGGGGCCAGAAACTTCATTTCATAAAGGAGAAAAAGCTGGCCACAGAGTATGGAAGCTTGAATGAGAAACATCCCCCATAGGTTCACGTATTTGAATACTTGGCTCCCAATTGGTGGCATTGTTTGGGAAGGTTTAGGAGGTGCAGCCTTGCTGAACAAAGCATGGCACTGGGGGCAAGCTTTGAGCATATTATAGCTCTCCAACTTCAGTTCACTCTCTTAGCTTCATGTTTCTGGTTGAAAATGTGATCTCTCTCTCTGCTTCCTGTTCCTGCCATGCCTCCTCTGCCATTACGGACTCTCCCCTCTAGAACATGAAGCCAAAACAAGCTCTTCCTTCTATAGCTGCCCTGGTCACAGTATTTTATCACAGCAACAGAAAGTAACTAATCCAGTCCCATTTCCCAGTAGCTACCTTCTCTTAACTCTCCACCTACAATGAAGTCCCACCCTGGGATGGACTCACCTTCTGAATGAAGTTCTCCACTTTGCTTTGTAACCCCCACCACTTGAACTTGATGGTCACCAGCTTATAGGCACACATCTTAGGACAGTCAGGAGTGTTTGCCAGCTCTTTCTAGATGAGGAAAATCAAAAAGGAGAAACCATGATTAAATATTTTGTTTCGACTGAAACTGACAGTGGTGTAATAACATCACAGACACACACAAGGAAAATCAGTCTCCTATGTCTTTTTAATTCAGACATATGGAAATTTGCAATCATTGAAAGAGCAGCCCTGTGCAAAGTCTCCTTCCACAGACCATGCTTCTTTCTAGCCCCATGGTTTCAGAGGTGTGTTAGTCTGCCTCAACTGACACCGAGTTCGTATTCCAGTCACAGCTTATCAGTAGTAAGCCTTTAATACTGTAAGGTTCTCCTAGAGAATTCCTACTGTGGACCCGGCAAAAAGTTTTACTTGTATTCTCAAGTATCTGCAAGTGGAGGGGCACAGTGGGTGACAGCAGACAGGCCCCAACCAGTGTAAAAGCAAACATGATGTACGGTCACCAAGTGCTGGGAAAGGCACACTCTACACACACAGCTTCAGTTCTCACACAGATCACACACTATCATGTGAGTGATGTCAGGGAATCAAGTCTTGCTCAGCTTAATGGGAAAATCTTAGAAGGGGAGGTGTTAAGACTGCCTGCATTAAGGAGACTCTAGAGAAAGCAGTTAAGTTGTGCAGCTCACCTTCAGAGACAGGAAAATAGCAACTGTTCAGTGGCACCTCAGGTCTCACCCAAGCCATGTCAGAATGTAAAAATGTACTCTGAATTTTTAGGTTTAGCCAAAACAATTTAACATCATACCTGGAAGAGGGAACAGAAGGAAAAGGGAGAACTACACCAAAGTATAAAACTGAAGGGCTGTGTGCAGGAGACTGTAACAGTCTACACTGACGCACAGGTAACAGGGATACTCACAATGGAGTCCACACAGGAGTGGGCCTGCCCTCAGGAGTGCAGTCCAGTGTGGAAGGCCCACGTTACTATGACAGCAAATGTGACCTGCAGGCATGGTCTGGGAAAAGGGCAAGCCCTGACTGGCAAATCTATTATTCCATGCCAGCCCTCACCAGTCAAAGTGCTAATGTGAGAATTCAGTGTATGTATATGTACATATAAACAGTGGACACTCTATAAATCAGCTTCAGCAACTATTAAGAGGAGACCATTTACACCTCACCTTGTGGTGTGTTAGGAACAAAAACTTGGCCCAAAAAACATAGATTATACACTGATCATGACATAATTATGCATGTTACACAATGACAAAACAACATTGCTGCCCTTGGTGGCACTCATTCTTCCAGAAGGAACCCTTCTGCTGGATTCTACGGCACACATTGACACTCAACGCCCTCTTGATTACAGGTCTGGCTCTAAGCTGGGTTCCTGGTGTGGTGAGGTCAGCTGGCCTCTATAGAGTAGACACCCCCTACCTCTGAAGGCCCAGTTCTACAAAACGACAGCAAGGTCATTTTTTCATTTAAGAAACAAGTCAATGCCGGGGGTCTTTTGAATCTAGCACATACCACCAAAGAACTCTTGAGTACAGTCTGCCTGTGAGCAGAATATAGCTCAACTGTCAGGTCTACTAACCAAGTGCTAACCTAGGAACAAAGGGGCTCCAGCTGAGGTTCCCATATTGCAGAATCCAAAACCACTCTGGGTGGAAGGGGAAAGGCTAAACTATCAGATTACTTCATTCTCCACTGAGGTAAAAGGGAAAGCGGTAGCGAGCAAGCTTCGCACCAGGGCAACAGATGGTAAACCTAACACGTCTTTGACATTCAATGGCTTGTGAAACTTATAACTATATATGCCTGAAATAATGAAGATTCCCCTGCCCACAGACCCCCAGGTTCAAGTTCCTCTATGGCTCAGATCCCTCCACATAGTCGACAACCCTCAGACATCTTCCAGCTTGAACAAGTCCGGTAACTATGGGCTAGGAACTGCTTTGTTCCAAGCCTGAAGAGCTGAGTACCTTGTTCTCCACAGAACTCTTGCCTACTTCTGGTAGAACAGCCTTTCCGAACTCCCCCACCATTGATAAATGCAGGGGAAGCCGTTCTAACAAGCAGCCAGCTAAACACAAAGCTGGGCTCCAAGCACACAAGGCACATGACTTCCACAAGCAGCCAGGTTGTTCCCACAGGTTTAAATCAATTAAGCTAACAGCAATTTATAAAGTACCACCAGGCTATAGCAATTATCTAAAAAAATTAAATGATGGGACCCCCCCCACACCCAAAACAAAAGGCTACCTCCTCACACGGTAGATTACACTGACTCTCAATCTTCTTGTTCTTGTTTTCCTTCTAATTTACATGTAATTATTTAAAAACCTGAGGGAAGAGCACACAAACCAACTACAAACTTGACAAGTGGACAAAAGCCACCACCTTGGTTTCTGGGCTGTCTTCTCAGTATCAGCACCTCAAAGAAGTCACAGGACAGAAAAAATGTGAGACTAAATAGAAGAAAGAGCACAAGCTACGCATCTTCTTCAGTGATCATGAACATAGTACACATGGCATTTTAGGTCTCATTCAATCTTAGAGCTGACTCCTGTAAACTCACAGAACACAAATGCACTGCATGGATGGGTCTGAAAGTCGAATCCCCACACCCTGGGTTGAAGAGCTGCTCAAGTCCTACCATTCACCCTGTAAGGGGAAGTCTACTCTGGGAAATGGATCCTGCTCCTCAGGTAAGGAAATAACAAGCAACATGCTAATTTCTTTGTAACAGCAAACCAAAACTTAGTATCACTTCATAAGCCTAGACCATGGGCTCCTGTGTACACAGCCACTAAGAGCCTTTTGGTTGGTGTCTTCCCCCCCACCCGCCTCAGGCAAAGATAGCATCTTGCTATGTAGCTGTGCTGGATAGCTTTAGTGTCAACTTGACACACCTGGGTTGAGGGAGCCTCAATGAGGGAATTGTCTCTATTGGACTGGCCTGTGGTCATGAGTGAGGGGCATCTTCTTGATGAGTGATGTGGGAGGGCCCAGCCCACTGTGGGTGGTGCCACCCCTGGGCAGGTGGGCCTGTGCTGCATAAGTAAGCAGGCTGAGCAGGGGCCAGGGGAGCAAGTCAGTAAGCAGCGTTTCTCCATGGCCTATGCTCCAGCTCCTGCTTCCAGGTTCCTGCCGTGGGCTCCCTGATGAACTGCGACCTGGGAATTGTAAGCTGAATAAACCCTTTCCTCCCCAAGTTGGTATTGGTCAGAGTGTTTTGTCACAGCAATGGAGAAACAAATTAAGACAGTAGCCCAGTCTGGTCTTGAAATGTCAGCAATTCTTCTGTACCAGTCTTTCAAGTGCTAGGATTATAGTGATGCACAACCTAGAGAGACCCCCAGCTTTCAAAGAGCAGTTAATAAGGAAAAAAGAAAAAAGCCAATATAAATAGGTATGAACACCCATAAAGAATCAGGAACTAGAGATCTGGCTTTGGTAGGCTAAGGCTGAGATCCTAGCAGACAGCCTGAGAGGGTGGGTTCGGCCCTCCACCAGTGTAGCGGCTGGGAGCTTAGCAGACTGCCAGAGTGCCGGGTTCTGGCCTCCCTCCGGCCTCCAACTACCAGAGGCCTGAGAACCCAGGGGTCAGCCTGACAGCCCCTGGATCCTGCCTCCATGTGGTGGTCCTCTTATAAGAAGATGCTATACAGCAGTCCCTTCTGCATGCAATAACTACCATCATCACGACTTCGGCTGAACCTGATCGCTAAATATAGTCACAATTGGGCTTGCTGACGACTGTGCTCATTATTAAAGGAGTGCCAAGAAGGGTCACTGGACCCTCACCTGAGTATCCAGCCACTCTTCCCAGCCAGCTAGTCCAGCCCTGAAAGACAAAAGAAAAATGAGGAAGAACCCAATAGAGGGATGCTTTTGGAAGCCCTTGTCAAGAAACTCCAATGGACTTTCATAAGAACACTTGAAAATTGCCCTGCTCTGACTTTTTTCTAGTTCCCTGTCTAGAACTTGTAATGCTAATTACTCTTGCCTTTATTTCTCCTTCACATGTCCTATTCATGATTCAAGGACTTTCTTCTTCCCCTAGAGACAAGAGTTATGCAATTTGGGAGTCTTTTAGATAGACCCACTGAAGGGGTACTCCAATTGCCTCAACCTGCGTCCCTGTTCAGCATGGAAGAAGCCAGAGCGGTCTCCATCCCTATTCCCTATTGGCAATTTGGGTAACCCCTTCAGGGGATGGTGTGATAAGAATAGGAGGTAGGAATTGGCTAGGCAGTTAGGGTAAAAAGACCTCAAAGAAAAGTAGCCAGTTTCTTGGCTAAAAGTCAAAATGGGGAGAAAAAAGTCAGGGGGGGGGCAAGGGGAGGGAGTGGAGGGGAGGGAGTGGGCATGGATTTGATCAAAACACATTATATACATGTATGAAATTCTCAATAAAGTTTTTGTAAAAATTTTTTTAAAAAGAAAAAAAAAAAAAGAATCAGGAACTATACCAGAGAACAGTAATTGAATGGTAAAAATACAATTTTTATCTTCTTTTGGGTAAAGCAGTTATTTTCAAACTAACATTTTGGGGCTGGAGAGATGGCTCAGTGGCTGAGAGCACTGGCTGCTCTTGTAGAGGACTCGGGTACGATTCCCAGCACCTATATGGTGGCTAACAACTGTCTATAATTCCAGTTCCAGGAGAATTCGATGCTCTCTTCTTACCTCTAGGCAGGCATTGCACGACACAGGCGCACTTACATACAAGCAGGCAATTCACTCACACACATAAAATAAAAATAAAAAAATATTTTAAAAAAAGAAAAATATTTTATCATCGGGGAAAGCCCCTAAAACAAATGACTCTTGAAATACTTTGGCCCTCAGTCACATATTTTAGGACAAGGCTTACTTTGCCTTAATTTTTCTGTGTATTACTTAAAATTAGCCTTTATTCTTTAACCATAACAATCTAAATGCTTTTTCATTCTTTTCTTTTTTGACACTTCATAAATCAAAGCTAAATAGAAACAAGGTAAAAGCTTAGTTAAGACTTGGGCCCAGCCCTTTTTTCCTAAAACCACCACAGGAATATG